GTAAAAACAATGTGGCAAGGTTACAAGAAAAACAAAAATTGTAGACCGTTGAGCACAAAGAAACATTTGAGAGACAGTCCAGACAGTGATTAGTATTTCGTCTCGATTTGATTGATTGATTCGTGGGGTTTAACGTCCCAAAACTACCATATGATTATGAGAAACGCCGTAGTGGAGAGCTCCAGAAATTTCGACCAGCTGGGGTTCTTTAACGTGCACCCAAATCTGAGCACACGGGCCGACAACATTTCCGCCTCCATCTGAAATGCAGCCGCCGCAGCCGGGATTTGATCCCGTGACCTGCAGGTCAGCAGCGGAGTACCTTAGCCACTAGACTACCGCAGCGGGGCTAGTATTTCCTCTCAATGCTAAACATAGGCTATGAAAGATGGTAGCGAGATAATTTTAACTGAGGCATTCTGGTATGCAGAACGTTTGTCCTTGCTGCATGCGCGTGGTCGAGGATGACGTAAACATCAGAAACATTATCTGGCTCAACCAATCACATGCTGCGAGAACAAACACACTGTTATGGCATGCCTATAAGACTGCGCCTCTGGTTGGAGCCACACGGATTCAAGGTGTAAGAATGCATTAACTACATGAATGAATAAGCCTGGCATATAGTGAAGATTCTCAGCTTCTATGCGCCAAGATGGTGATCAATATGATTACAAGGCTATTTACGAAGATGACAATATGATTTTGAGGCATGTCGTAGTGGGGAAACTCCTGATGGCTGTGAAATGAACACATGGCCTCATACTCATATATAATACCTAAGCTGTAAAATCCATCTTGGAGAATGCCTTATCTGTGACAATAAAGCATTTTTGTTCCAATGCTAAGAAGAAAAAAGTCACAGGAGTTTGCATGATACTATTAAGGAACTCGCGCGTGATGGTATTAAGGAACTCGCGGTCCAACCACTTGTGGCCTTCAATTCAGTGGCAGGGCTATAGAGCCCGTAAACAAGAACTTCCCTCTCCACTAGAGGAAACTGTCCTTGTTTTGACCCGCAAAATGCACAGTCAAACCTTTTTCATAGCCCGAAGCTCTTCATTTCTACAGTAACGATTGCGCACAGATTGATGCTGAAGTGTCGTACAGCCTGTTGGTTCCCATGCTCCAGCGCATGCTTGACCAACTTCAAGTTTAAAACCAGCTGTGTGGCTAGTGTACTCGCCGATCGAGCCCTGCGCAGAAGGTGTCCAATGGAGTTCACCTCGACTACAATGCACACTGTACTACGACAAACCGGACAACACAAAAGCAACATTGGATGGCAGCAAATGCACAATGCGGATGCACGTCTCACCGTCAGCGTGGTTGCCATGGTTGCGATTTGTTTTACTGCGACAGAAGCTTATTCTGTGTTCGATAGATGGAGCTCTGGCGTCAAAGGCGCGACATTTAAATTTTGGTCGACGCTGCCCGTGCTTGTTCTGCTCGTAACTGTTTAGCATGGTTTTTAAACCAAGTTTTGACTTTTGCTGCGTTGTTATTTTATGGCATAATGGAGTGATTTAACATTGTTTCGATTGTCAATAGCAGTGGCAATCACACTGAAATAAAATGAACAAATACATTAATAATAGATTTTTTTTTCAAGGACCAAGGTGGGGGCTGGGTTCATTATGCCAGTGGGTTCATTACACAGGTAATAAGTATGGTAAATGCTGTCAATATAATAAATACTTCTCGCCTTTCTCTAACCTTTCTTGTCTTAACCTTACCAAGTCGTCAACATGCTAATTCTCCTCCTACTCGTGGCTCTCACAAACTATCTTTTAACATTTCAATCTAAATATGACATGCCCAAACAAATTTTCTCCCAAGTAATTGAATGGGTGAAATTTTTTTATCTGGAGACGTTCTCGTGCAACCATTTTGCAATATTTCATCTGTAAACTATGTATGATCTTGCAGCAAGTTAATACAAGTAAATAAATAACAGCGCGAATGTCATCCCCTGATGTATCGCTACTAAATTACCTTGAACCTGCAGAGATCATGCCGTGCCCTTGCCATCTCACAATCCAACACGCATGACAAAGGAGGCGCAGACACTGGGTGCACCAGTGCCATGATTTCACTGGGGCGCCCAAATAAATGCTGTTTTGCAAGCTGAATAATTATTGCTCCATGGCTAGAATCAATTGGTGTACAGAACTTCACACGCAAGTCATTGCTTCGCAAGTGAGCCATGACACAGCTGAGACCCTAAGAGTGCTTAGCGATAAGAATGTGTAATCAACACAACTTGGCAGATCTAGATGCAGCTTAGCAGTCAGTAATTTTATGAAGTGTAGCCAAATGCATAACGCACTGTTTTCTGTTCTATTGCAGGGCTTTACAAAGGAGTTTACCACCTTGACATCACTCATCACGCATCACTCGGTCATGCCAGAGCTGCTGCCATGCCCGCTCTCCTTGTATCGATACAATTCAACGTTCCGGAAACATGGCTCAGCTGAGGATATGGTGGACATAGATGAAGACCCCGACTACACGCTGCTCTCAGATTTTCGCAAGATGATGGCCGACGCTGTTTGACTTGCGGAACAGGCTGCATGCTAGTCTTAATATCTATCTGGTGAGTATTGTCGCTGGTCTCTCAGTGCAAATGATTCTCTATTGATACTGCTAATTTGTTCAGCAGATGCCAGCTCAGCGCCAGCAAAGTTATTCTTCATGGACCTTAGTCTCGGTCATCAATGTCCGAGTCCAGCTGTGCCTAGTCTTATGCCGAGTCTGTCTAGGCATGTTGAGGTGTTTTCTATTACACTTTAGAAGAGGCAGTTAAGCTGTAGCTCTTGAAATATGGCTGTGCAGATTAGTCGGGTTTAGGCAAAGGAGGGTAGGATGTGTTACAGAGTTAAAAAAGTGCAAAGAGAATGCTCTGAACATTGGATGATGCACCTGCTTATGTGGCACTCATCATGTCTAATAATGAACAAAGCAGCTGCAGCATGTCAACCTTGTATGTTTTCTGCTGTGTTTGTCAAGCAACCGCTAACGTAGCCGACAAGAAAGGGGGGGGGGGGGGTTCAAAGCTCCTTGCCATCGAAATCTTTAAATTTTGTATTTGTACATTTAAAACCCGCAATAACGTAATCGGCAGTGAAAGTTAAAATTTTCCTTTTGCAGACATATCACTAGCGCGAGAATGCGCCAGAAAAGACAGGGAATTGACTAAAAACACATTTCCAAAAGTCGATAAGCTTACTTTGCCGAGCAGCAACAAGCACACAAAGCGACTGCTACCGCGCCACACACGTGACCATGCGTGACAGCAATGGGTACGCAAAGCCAACAAAGCCAACAAAAGAAACTTCGTGAGGATGTGTATTTGGCTACGTAGTCCCGGATTATGAGTCGGTACAACAAGCAGGTGTTTCTATGTCAGCACGATAAAAGATTAACACGTGCCTACTGCACCTGAGATTCTTGACATTTGTTTTTATAGATGTAGCTGGTACTGCTAATTAAATGCATGTTTGGTTGAGGCACTCTGCAGTCACACGCATCGATGGGCAAACCATCATCACCATTGTCGCAGCAATTTTTTGTAAACAATGATGGCGGCGGCTGCTGAAGCGTGTTGTGGCGATAGTTTTGCACAATTTAAGTCAACCATGAATGCAGTTAGGCAGTTTTTCAATGCAGTTAATGTTACGAGAGCAGATTATTTGCGTGCTCTTATTTAAAATAATTCGTTAATAAGACACTAAGGTAAAAAATATGTTTCATAGTCGCAGGTTACGAAGAGAAAGAGAAACAACATTTATTTACACATCCGGCGTGCGGGAAGTCACCGGGCACGCAGGGCGCGGGTATTACCTATCTGAAGACTATGGCTAATAGAGTCCTATAGTCCCAGGGCCTAGATCTTGAGGACGTTTCCTCCGGATAGGCATTGGATACTCGGGCTCCTCCACTCCCGTTGTCAGGGGCGTCGGCTCCCTTTCTCCTCTGCTTTGCCAGGGCCTCCTTGCACACTGACTCCAAAAGGTGTTGCCTGTTTCTCCGAAAATATTCTTTGCAGCGAGAATTTTGTTACCCTTTGTAATCGAAGGCTTCAACTGTGTGTGTGTGCGTGTGTACTCGCACAAACATACATAAAGTATCATTGAATGACCTCCCTCACCCGAGAAAAGATGTCCAACTACACTATTGCAAGTAACTGCCTCTAGAAAGTCTGAGTCAGTGCTCATTTTAGTCCCTCCTTTTCTGGCTTCATGCAACCACCAGCTAGCCCGTTCTTAAGCCTTGATATATTCTACTGACCAGAAACCTCATAATTTCTGCAGAAAGAATCAAACGATACTAGTAAGTTAAAACACCATCAAAGCAGTAAGATTAAGAATCTGTAACTGTATCTGCTGAGCGCATGTGAAGGTAAACAGATACTAGTTTGTCCACTTTCAGTGCTGATTACTAGTTTACAGTGGGTGTGCAAAGTGCATTACTTGTTTATAGTGAGAATTAAATTGTTACTGATCAGTGAGTTCTTTCAATAAGTTGCCAATGTATTTGTGGTGCATAATACATCGGTTATGTCCTGCATTCAATGTCCTAACAGTGCAGTGCAGTTTACAGCGTTTTGGTACATTTGTTAATAAGGGAGTCTGAAAGTTGTAATGTTCATGCTGCAGTTTCACAATATCATCCATCTCATCAAAACTAATGTACTATCACTAGAATACAGTACCTACTTACCACAGTCTGTATACGTTCAACATGTTTCTTAAAGTAGCAGACTTAGGTGTTGCACCGAGAAAGCTGAGCAAAATTACTTCTCTGTGTCCACGTGTGTATTTAGACAACAGCTAAACAGAGAATGGAATCCTTAAAAAAACTAATGTCAGTAAAGCAATAACTGGAGATAGTTGGTTGAAGTCAACTTTGATTTTGCACCATTTGAAAGCATCATAAAAAGTGCGATGCTTTCAATCAATGCTTACTCAAACTAAATCCAACTATACAAGCACTTTTTGCCCCTTTTGCGAAATATATTCATGGCATTTATCAATATATTGAACATTTCAGCAATGAATAATAATTGTACTGACATTGTATGAATCAGACATTCACACAGCTTATTCCTTAATTAAATGAAAGCCAAAGTGCACAGACATTTACAGGCAACCTAAAAGTGCTTTCAAATACACTTTTTACTTGTTTTGCATTGCAGGTGGCGACCACAGTTAGGTTCGACAGTGGTGATCTGGTGATAAGCAAGCAATGCTGGTCAGTGCTCGCACTCCTGCAGCCGCACATTGTCTCGACCACGCAACAAGTCTCGCGAGTCGTTTCGTGCTGCTGCTGCATAGGAGACAAGCCAAGTTCTGGTAGCATAAGTTTCGCCAATGGGATCAATGTGAACATGCTACGTTGTGATAGCGCCTCCCACTCTCAAACTCGAGTCACGACCTGTCATCTACAAAAAGCCGACTTCAGAGCTAAAGCGTGGGGAAATAAAGCATTTTACGTCTGTCTTTTACACATCCACCCCAGGGTATTCATGCAAAAAGCCTTGAATATGTGTAGTTATTGAAGGCGCACATGTTAGGCCACCGCAGTACTGCAGGGAGTCATTAAATATACACTAGAATAAAATAAATCATCACTTTACATTGATAAATCGTACTTTTCAAAACTGTAATGTTATTAATTCCATCATAGTTTATTAATGGAGGAGAAAATCAAGTTCCAAGTTTCGTTCTTAAATTTCAAACTTGAATCGTTGCACATATCAAAGTGTATTTTTTGAATTTTGACAATATGGCGCAATGAAATTTAATGAAATTTGGTATCTTAAGTCTTTGACCTCCTCAGAGGTCCATGTACTTCATTTTTACCACTTAGGAACTCTGTCATGTCTAGAAAATACCGTCAAAACCTATGAAACTACAACATTAGTAGTGATAATTTCAAGGTACTGACACCATCTGCATCATCTTCTCGTGCACTTTCTCACAGTGAGTGTGGTGATAACGTCACGACCTGCAAAACACAAAGAACTAGACTTCAAAGCTGAAGTGTGGGGAAATGAAGCACTTTATGTCGGTCTTTTACAGATCCACAGCAGCGTATGTGTAAATGAAACAGATATGGTATAATGAAAGAATAATTTCTCAATATCAGAAAAGTCGTTTTTCTTTTTAATGTCCCTTTGACATCACGAGGGCAAGTTGCAGGCTAGTTTGAAAATGACCTTGAGCAAGAGCTATTCACCTAAGCAACTTTGGCCAACCAACTTTTGAGCACCGACAGCTGGGCCTCCTCTGGTGATTTGGCGCTGAACTCTGCAAATTCGACCACTATCGGACGGACGTCTGAAAACTGGAAGTCCTTTCCTCTCTTGCCCAGGAATGTGTTCTTATTTGCCTGCCCCTCCGTAGACTCCAGCGCGGAAATCTGTGTGGTCCTCAGGACATTCCTGCAAATCAAAAGTATATGATGGGGTATTACATAGCGTCGCATCGTACAATGCAGTGCCGCTCATGTATGCGACAAAATGTATGTCACCATATCTCATGCACAACGTGATTAAATATCTGCCTTGCTTTAAAATAGATGAAATTCCGAAAATTCCACATAGAAAATGCCATGCCTGTGCCAAGCAATTACTGCATTTAGTAACAGTCACACAGTGAGGAACGAATCACATGAAAATCTTATGTAGTTGTACCAAGTTTTTCCTCAACAAAGTTGTTCAACTGAGAAAAATGGCAACGAATTTCACATGAAAATGAATTCAGGTCACAGAAAATTGCTTCTCAGATTTGAACTATGCCGAGACAAAGCTTAATGATTTATTAACTTACATTTCCTTCTCCAGTTGCGACTGTATCACCTTGGGTGACTTGGCCATGGGTGCATCTGAAAATATACAGCACTGAGAACTAATCTCACACAACCAGGCTTGTAAAGATTGTCTGGAGTACTTGCCTTGCTTATTGCATACAATCATAATGGGTGGGCAATGCTGTGAGATGACGGGGTCGCACAAGAGATTATACAGGAACCTGCAACACCACAAGCGTGATTACAGTATTCAGTGCACAGTTACCTGCACAGTAGGGTGCGTTAGTTTGTACAGCCCTGCAGTGCTTTACAAGAAACTAATCTAATGCTGATATTGAGACAAATATTCAATCGTGAGCTATCTCTTCGTTGATTACACGTTTGATGACTACACTTTTGTTATGATGTACTGAGCTATTCTTTCGCTTGTACTGAACCTGAATAGATATTTTTCCCAACAAAGCACAAGGTAAACATGGCCAGAACAGTAGCTTCATTATTTAAATAAAAATGTTAAATAAAAAGGCAACAAAGAAGTGTGATAAAGAAAACCGGTATTTAGAAATCTCAGTGCACATAGACATGCCAGCATTTTGTTCAGAGTTTCACTGACTTAATTTACAAAAAAAAAATTTTAACTGAAAAATTTCATGTCAGTACCTTCTTGAAGGAGTACTGACACAAAAATGTTGCTTTCTTTTTTTCTGCTACAAGATATAGCTAACAACCTACCTAATAAGGCTGAAAAGCTCATTCCAGCACACAATGGTTAATTATTTTTTAGAGATTGTTCTACAGCACTCAGTCACAGTTTCGGTTACAAAGTGTGCAGAGCAAGGCAGGAACCAGAGTGGTTTTCATGTAAACATAGGTGGCTATGTAAGCGTACGAACCACGAGCACATGAGCACAATGTCGATGACTCTTTTCGTGGAAGGCTTTCTGCATGCTACTAAAATTTCCTTTGAGGCGTTGTAATAAGTGCCCCTTTCGCCCCCCCCCCCCCCCAATAATAAAAAGGACACCAGCCTTTGTACTTCCGTGCCAGTCTGCCCCCTTTTTCTGTAACGAACTTGTGATGCAAGGAGCCGTTAGCTGTTAATAAGAAAACCACCGGCGTAATTTGCACATAGCGGTGCAACACAAATTTCGAAAATTATTTTAAATATGCTGTAGGCTACATTAACCATTGATACTTCATAGATGATGCGTGTGGGTTCAGACAAACTTATCCCAATAAGTTACCTCGCTTTCAAAATTTTGTGTCGGAGCTCCCTTAAGGGTACTGTGCACCCCTATGATTGCAGCAATCTGTCAAATAGTGACAATGCCATGTCAGTCTACAGTGAACCTGCACCTGGAAGAAATTTTAGAAGTCGCGCCGTAATAGCCAACTTGATGATGATGATGAAATAAACATTTTTTTAAACAAAACATTTTTTTAAACAGTGTCCCCGAGTTCGTGAGCTCTGGGTCACCCTAGGTGGGAGGGTCCCTTATTCCAGGAATCCTCTGGCCGCGATCCCCTCCCGAGTCCTGGCGACAAGTTCTCAATGGTCGTCCAGGTCGCGTGCGGCAATCTTGGCCTTCCACGTCTCGTCATAGAGTCTACCTGACTACCTGACGCTATACACCTACAACTGCCCGATATGCGACGTGCCAGACACACTGGCACACCTACTACCCGAGTGCCCGTGGCGCCACGAAGATGTCAATACCAAGCCCGCAACGACTGCACGTATCAATAGCCAACTTGTACTTTTTTTTATGAACTACAATAGCAATGCCATGACTTCGTAGTTTTAGTTCATAAAATGCAAAAAATGCAATACATTAGGTTTAAAGAGAACCTCCATCTTTCATTGAAGCACAGTGACCTGAAGGAAGGTCATAATTACAGAGCCAGAATGCCTAGCTAATGCTACCATATCAACCTTATTCTTCTTTTTTGCTCTTCATTGATACACAAAACACATGGCATAGGCCTGATCATTTTAGTTTTTTGTCTAAAAACATCTTTCTTGCCTATGTCATATTGGGAGTTGATATAGCTCAACTTTTTAAAACACTATCACAGTTCACTCAATGTCAACACAGTGTCTAATACAAAGCACTAAATACAACATGATTGTGTTAAAATAAGCCATAATTATGTCGACACTGTGATACATCAAGTAGCATTTGTATGCTAGTCTGCAACTAATGTACGCAAATTCGTCACTAAATGCTCTCCTCCCAGGAACACCATGCCAAAATAAATTATAACTTACTCGGCCACATCCCTGACCTCTTGTGGGAATTTAGCACTGTCCACAACAAAGAGAACAGCCCTGTAAAGCAAAGGGAATGAATTTTTAAACAGAAGAAAAAGGAAGCAGTGATAAAGACGGCTATGACATCACAAAGGTACCAACCAAGGAATACTCGAACCACCACTCATTAAAAACTTTTAAACAAGCAATCCTCCAAATATACTTCATATTTGTGAAGTGCACGAAGTACAGTGTTACCGCAGGTGTGAAAATATTGCATCGAAATTGCTTCGTTGCTAATTAGGGGCATGCATATATTCTCTACTTCACCTCAAAATAGAACTTGCTATTCAATCTGGGTTTGATATGCTAGTTTACGATAAATAGAGTCAAATATTTGTTTTCAACACAGATTAGTGAAAGCAAAAAATTGGGGGAGCCTTAAGCTTCGCCTTTAGGAGTTGAACGTGATAGCGAAATCTGGCCACTAGTGCGCCCTTCAACCGCTAAGTGCATACTTATTAATGTGTTTTCTTACACACACACAGTAGATTGCACCAGCATGCACGTGCGAATAGTACATACAAGTTTTTTATCTAAAGTAAGAGTAGCATATTTTCCAAGATACACGCCGCGCGCTCGCCATTTCGGAAGCAATGAAGAGTCGCACAATGCTTCACAGGTGGCAGCACATTATCTAGCGTTTGCTGTTTGCTTGATGAACGCCTCTGGAAAGGCATGATATGTTTTCCGCTAGATGGACATAGTTGTCAATTTTTAGAGCTGTTTGAAAGTTCCTGTGCGTTTTTAGCGGCGATAGCTGCACTATCCCGGCCTTTTTCGGCGTAGTTTGACGGCCTCCTAAATGTGCCTACAAATCGTCGAATGGGCTCGTTTTCGTCGTGACACCTGTTGAACAAAATGTGTTAAAGAGACTCCTTCCACTACACGGCATTTATGTAGTGTTTTTTCCCCGAAGCAGCTGCAAGTAACATCGTGGCTCTGTGGCAGAACATCTGCTTACCACCTGAACGGCCCGGGTTCGATCCTGAATGAGACCGAAAATTTCAATCTTTATTTTATTTGCTTCCTTTCTCAATTTTTCGCTCACACCCGACGGTGCCGACACCGACGGCCGCCGGAATTTCTGAGACACGAGCTCTCTAATGCTATCGCGTTAAAAAGTCAAAGGAGCCAAGGCATTGCGACGTTATGACAGCGGCTCCAGTGCAGCAGGCAACACAGTGAGCTGGAACAAGTATCAATATGTCGCATTCCTGGTACCATGCGGCTATTTTCTGCATAATGATTTCACTAGAGTAACCTTCTGGAATGTGAAAAGAACTGGGTCCCAAGAAGCTTATGCTATTAAATTATTTAGGACAGTGTACGTGCCTACGGTATCAAAGTCCAACAGCTTCATTCAACACAAAATATTAAAAATATTAATATTATACCTTGTGTAAATGATCACTCATCAATTACAGCCAATTATCCTTGCATTAGCTGTTCCCACACATGCTGTGCAAGACCAGTCAACCTACTGACCAGGGGACAAGATCCAAGCCAAACATGAGGTAGGATACCGGAATCTTATCTAAGTAAACAGGCTGCTTTGTGCAGGCCAGTGCTCTGATAGTTTGCATTCCCTACAATGCCATTCACACATCCAGTAAAATTTTAATCGACCGTTACTCATGTAAGAGCACACAGCATACGAGGCAAACTGCACTTGCAAAACTAAAACCCTTGCCAACGACTGTACATACCTTGCTAGCCCCTTGAAGTAGTCCAGAAACCCGACTCTGATTCTATCATGGCCGGGCAGGTCAATAAGGTTGAGAGAACCCTGCAAGAGTTTTAGTATGATATGGCACACAGGTCTAGAGGCAAACATTGGCGAGTGATTCTAACAATAATGTACACTGCCATATAACTGTGCATGGTCATGAAATTAAGAAATGCAAATGAACTAATGCATACTCACTTTCTTTGGGATTTTATATGACGCCTTGTTCTCTTTGATTGATGTGTAAGTGTGAACCTTCTTAAGACCTACAAGCTGCAATAAAAAGGTGGTAATGCCTGCTTAGAAAGAGAGTTACACGACACGCAAAAACACATCACGAATTGACACCGCTCATAGAATTTTTTTTTCCCTGCAACAGTACGCGACACTTATGATGCAACAAGAATGTCACGCCGGTAGAGCCTCCAATGAAGGCTCAAACTACAAGCCCAAATTTCTGTCGCTTTTGGCCGACAAAGTGTTACTTCCCGTAAAACAAAGTTGTGTAACGTGCGGCAAGAGTTAAGCGAGAAAGAAAGCGTGACTAATACTCACCTGAGAAAACAGCAGCGTCTTTCCGGCGTCTGATAGTCCCACGATCAGAACTCCTCGCCGAAGATTCTTCCTTCGTTGGAAGAATATGACTGGAACAGCAACAATGTTGTAAGAGCACAGACACGGCCACAAAATCACGGGAAACATATGGCAATCAATCCACAGGATAATGAGTGAATAGCACGGAAGGGCGTTCGAACTTGTGGACAGCATCGGCGATAGCATGTCAAGAACGTCCACATTACCCGGCCACGGAAACCAGCAATGTTGTTGACATCGCACGATGGACATATGGAATCGAGCACACGATCTAAAGCGAGCCTTAATCTACTTCGTACGTGAAGGTACTTACTTGTTGTGATTATTACTACGACTAATGCGATAATGATATACATTAACGATGGGTTCGTTAAAAATAAATTGGTTTTTACGTCCATGTGCACCGACTTCGACGACGCGTCCGCCGCCATTTTTAAAACGAGTTCAGCGTTCCCTGCCGTTATTAGGCATAAATAGTTTAAACATAGAGAAATAAAAAAAGGTGAAGAGTGGACACTCCCGTAGACCCCAGCGGCCCAATCGACTCTAGCACACCTAGTGGTTGATGAGAGCAAGTGGCTTGCGCTTCCGGTTTCGGTTTCACTGGCGCAACTTTTGAATTACTTTGCATAACCGGCGTTTGGCTATGTCGTAAGTTCATAATTTCAGACCACTATTCATCGCCCAAATGGATAGTTTTTGTAGGTCGTTTTGATTTAGCGATTCCCTGTTTTGTTTTGTTCAGTGGTTCGTGCGAATCGGTCGTGACGTAATTTTTATTTTGATTAAGTTATAATAAAAAGAGATGCAGGTAATGATAATTCACTATCGTTTTATTCATCGCGCTTGTGTTTTTCTTTTGGAACAAGTGATCAATGTATATATCAGTCAAAGAAACAGAGCATCCGCAATGTTTTATTCAAAGGCAAGGTAGAGTATGAGAATATAAAAAGCACAATATGACAAAGGTAGACAACAAATGCATCTCGCCTTACAAATAAATTGTAACAAATATTGTAACAAATACATAGAGAACACAGACAACGCACACATCGCTAGAGTTGGCAGAAGCCGAGAAACTGGTGAAGTATGACACACCGGGCCAGTGGGTAGCTAGGGATCTATGGCAAAAACATAGCGCACAATGCTGATGAAGAAGGAAGAAGTGACATATACACAGCAATGAAGTCGCGAATCACGCCTGGGCTAAACTGAAATAATGCATAGAAAAAAAGAGCGCACAGAAACCACACGACACAATATAGCAGAAAGGCAAAGGTGCAGTGTGCTGGCTGTGCTTAAGAACAGCTAGTCCAAAATGAAAAAAGCAGACTTGATGCCTGCTTGTCCTCAGAAAGGTAGGGCTTTGCAGCTTGCTCACTACGTGAAAGACAAACTTTATGCTACAACACTGACAGGTCTTGTGGCTTTGTTATGCGTCGCCTTCATCAAAAACTTAAGATCCCAAGTGATTTGCGTCTGGGTGTTGCTGTGACGCTTGCGAGCTAAAATAGATTGTAGTCATCACTTTATCCAGAATTGTGGACCTTAATTGGTGCTACGAGAGCGGTATTACAGGGCTAATAAATAGCAGAAGGAAACCACTTTGGCTCATTATTTTTCACAAAGGCTCTACATCGTACGTTATCACTCACAAGCTATATAAAAATAAAATGGCAGCGTCCGCAGCCCCATCAAACGCTACAAGTTTGGGTATTCTTTTGAAAATTTTGATGGGCAAGATGAGGAGGTTGATGAGAAGCTAAAATACGAAAAGCGTGATAACATGAACCGTGCCCACTTCATACTGTGTTCCTTACCCGCTCGAAGACATTTCAACAAGCGGTTTTGTTATCGATATATTACTTGAGCTGGAGAGATAAAGCATACACAGTGACCAAGCGACCCACAGTAAAGTGTACAGTTCGCCCGTATTTGCTACAAAAAATACAGACAGGATGCCCAACATTCTTTTTAAGGTTATGCAAATCACTTCGAGCGAATACACAGTGTTTGTACTCCTCATAGCGGGTAACCAAAACAATGAATGCAACAAAGGAGTGGTTAGTCCAGTTGAACTGAATATAAGCATATAAGACCATAATGAAGTCTGCTGTAACGAAGTAATAACATAACAAAGCTATTGCAGGATTCGGCTCAACTCCAATACTTTAGTGTAAACCCGCCGCTAATTGCTAACCTTTGAACTTGTCAAGCTGCATGCCCGAGACTGAAGACTGGAACCTAACCCTGTCTAAGTTTCGGTTCACAAAACGCACATGCCAACGTAAACGAACCCGGCAAAACATTTTCAGAAACTTAGCGCGACACCCAGCAGAGCAGAAATGAAAATCGCCAACACTTGACAGATGGTGATACAAAACATCGCACACTTTCAGGTGATGTGCAGTGGCCTCAATTATGGCAAGAAAGTGAGATTCAAGTTGTTGTACGTATGCAAAAGCTGCTTCTGATGGCACAGTGAGATTCCCAAAAGTTTGCTGGGGACGTGGTATGCTTTGAGCATTGTGAAATACTGGTGGGTACCCTTGAGCGTCTCACTGTCGTCTTTCAGTAACTGTGGGCAACTGCAACCGTCACATGCATTCCGAAGGAAGTGTTTGATGAGAAAACCAGCTACATAATATGCAGCGGAGTCATCGATAATATGGGAGTGAATGTTTGTCGCAAGTTCAGAGAGATCGTCTAGAGCGGGAAAGTCGTCAGGCTGTGGCTGTGCACACTCCTCATTATCCACAAGAGACGCACTGGTGAGGGAGAATGGCGACAGCTGTTCCTGGAGGAGGTCACATTCATCATCCTCGACATTTCCGTATTCTGACAGCTTGAAGAGTTTTCTTATGCAGATGTGCTTCAGGCCACAAATAAATTGTGCTACATTGGGGTTGGTGTTGCAACCCTGTTTTTGCCTAATGTGGCCAAATATGTTCTCCAGAGGATCCTGTTGAAGCCTGCGTGTTAACAGGTATTCAAAATTGTAATTTTTGGAGAGGTCGTCCCATAGTTGACAAATTGCCTGAATTGTAATTTGCCAACCTACGATGGTTTGTGGTTGACGTCTGCCAACAAACTGCCATGATGCAATCCAGGGAAGCTGACCTCGGAGGAAGTCAATCAGCTCTGAATCATTTTTCATGATTGCATGCCGCAGCTTTTGCGAAGTTCTTTTTTTACTCGAGCTGTTCAAGGCATCGAAAATCCTGTCCATACGATCACAAAATTGAGCTGTAGGGATGGCCGAGGCAGGCAGCACCTTCGCATACACCATTGCCGTGATAGCAATCGAAACTGATGCACTGAGGACCTGAGTTGCTCTGCTGACCTTCATATTAGAAAAAGGTTTCTGATGAACGTGCCGTTCAGTCAACTTTGGAGCCAATCGCAACCGCAACTCATGTGAGGATTGGTAAAGGCTTACAATGTGCGACCAGTTAACGATGTCATCCCCAATGTATAACTTGTGTGCTTGGACATTATTGCGCGTTGTTTTAATTAAATGCGGAACATCAAAAATGTAATATACCCGCTCACCATTAACTTCAAAAAAAGGCTTTGCTACAGTCACTTTTAGTTGGTTAGAGAGACTTACATTTGAACTGCCCTGGTCACAAATGACTGCTTTCACTGCAATATTAATGCTCCTAAGCTCCAAAATGAGTGACACCAGCAAGTTATGCATAACAGATGATGGTGTTGATGTGTGCCCTATAGTAAAAGCAACCGGTTGAACCCACTTTCTCGAAACACCAACAAGAAGAAAAACCAGTGCTCGATCAGCGATGGTTGAAGTGCGATGAGTGCCATCATCTGTAAAACCCTGGACAACGTCTCTTGAAGCATCATAGTACAAATTCTTTTTAAGTGCTATTTCGTCGAAAACTAAAGCGCACACTCGGTCCCGTTCATTCCAAGCTTGAGTATTTGTTGCAATGGAAGAAAGGATTCCTGGAATTATGCCTGGAGTCATCTTTACATTAGCTAGCCACCTCCTTAATGAACGCCGGGAGGGCAAAGAAAAATACGGAGCCAGAAATCGGTATGCTCGCGGACCTCGGAAGTTTAAGTGAAGAGCGAATTTCTTGAACCACACGGGAAACCGCTTGCCCTTGCGTTTGGGCCTCAAGCGAACATGTGCAGAAAGAAGTTTAAAAACCTCCTCGGTGACGTGCGGTCGGATAACTTCAAGGGCCTTCGTAGTCGATGACGGTGCTTGGTGAGGCTGTCTCTGCAGTCTTTTGATAGTTTTCCGCTGTGCTGCTACTTTGGCTTGCAGATGTTTAATGGTTTGCTTGTACTTCATTGATGGAGACATTGTCGCTGGCACACAGGAACGCACTGCAATAAACAAAAAAATTGATGTAAAAGCGAAGAACAACTAATCCCATACGAGCACTTTCCTCGCTCTTTCAGACCCAAGGTGCACAACTTTCTGTGGTACAAAGTTTTCGATTCCACTACCTAAAACAAACCATTCACAATGTTGACAATGCACAAAAAAAATGAAAATCACTGAGAGCCCACCCTTACATTTTGTAAGTGCACACGTAGTGTCCTTTTGAGGATAGTTTCCTCAGAATGTCCTAAACATAAAATAGCACATTAAAAACTGCTGCAATAAAAGCATAGTCACCATTTTCTCTAAGGCACTCAGGCGTGGAGCTGTTGGCGGAGACGTCTTCTGGAGGGTCTTGTGAAACTTGTTCAGTGCCTCGGACAATGCTGTCGGAACAATCTTGCGAGCGGCCTGCGGAAGTCTCTATATCAATCCACTCTGGTGTTGAAGTGAACATACAACTTACCGGCCACACAAGTTCCTTTTGTGACAGCTGAACGACTGGTTAAGGTTTTCTCCGGCAAGACGAAATCATCAGAAATTCTTTCACCAGCTACAAGGGAGCTGCCACCTGCAGAGGTTTGGTCAACAGTCAATTTGGGTAAAAAAAAAAGAAATCGCGACACTGAACGCACCCTGTTCATCGGGGCACCTCAATGTGTGGGAGCCGCTTTTTGAAGCCTCTACCGCAGGTCCTGAAGAGATGAAATTACGACAATGTGTCAGTAAGAGGCTTAAAATAACACAAACTGAAGCTCATCCGCACCTTGCAGTGCAGCTTCTGCAGCCATGTCACAGTCACTACTTGAAGCGACGCTCAGAGAACCTGCATATATGTGCAGTTGGTACAAGTTACAAAGCTTGTAGCATGGGGAAACTTAAACAGCTCTTTCAAACGCATAAATTGGTCGAACGTGGAAGAAAAGAGACAGCACCTACTAGGAAACAAGTAATTTGTGATTTTTGGAATTATCAACAGTGGCAGCTTTCACTGATGAAAGGTATGCGTACATGTGCACTCAGGCTTGAAGATAACGTGAAATAGCCCTTTAAAGTCTTTCAAAACAAGTTGCGCAGGTCCAGAGCATCAAAAAATGACAGAAATGTAAAGCTGCCGTTAGGAAGGTAATAGCCCACAATTCACAGAATTTAAGACTTTCCAAGTGTTACTTCTGTAGTGAGGTTTCTCTATCGGCTACAAAGATCTTCACGGTTAACTGTCGCCACTGATTCAATACAAGTGGCTGCTATTGCACATATTTGAGTTTCAGTCAATCACTTACATGGTGCAGCTGGTTGCACACTGGGAACAGCCATTCTTGTAAGCCTTGTGTGCCCAGGGTCCATGAAACTTTGAGCAGTAAAATGGTCGCTACAAACCCTGTACGTTGCGTACAATAGGCTGGCCGGCTTACTCAGGAGATCATCGCGTCCAGCATACTGCATCCATGCTTTCATCCTGCATTGGCAATGAACTATCAGCTGAAAGGGGAAGTGCTTGAATAGTGATTTTTTATTGTCACCCTCACTTAGCAAGTACGAACAGTAAGCCTACAGACATGCAAACCATACAAAAGCTTTAACACACCTGCCGTCCCGTGGTACGCGGAAAGAAACTCGTCCCAGGCTTCTTGTGGGTTCTGCCATTGTTGAAGCACCACGATACACAGCAGTAGCTGCCGTAGCTTGGACCGCCGGACGGCATGGCGTCAGCGCGGTCTGAAAATGTTAGTAAGTGGATGCTTCGCTGTCAAATTACAAAAAAGATATGTGCACGTCATAAGTGTACCAGCAAACCCCTTTGAATGATTAGCTAATCGATGCACAATACAAAACCAGTGATACATCTCTGACCCATAAAACTCTGACTTACAAAGATATACGTCAAGACCACGAACAAAGATCTTCAGAAGTTTCCAGGCCGCTATCCCTTGTAATGCAATGGTATCGCGGCCTGGGAACATTAGAACACCTTCGTGCGTACGCAGTATCAGCAGTACATTGGGAAGAAAAATCGTAGTTGAAATTTGTGCGGTAAAATTATATTGGAAACGTCAAAAAAATTTGTGGGCAGCTTGCATTAGTGGCACAAGGCTAGCGAAGAAACGAAGATGATGGCCACTTGGCTAGTCCAGATTTGCCTCCGGCACACCAAGAATTATTCGTGTTCCGAGCCTTCGGGAAATGCGTCGTGAAGCATGCGAGGCCCAACAAACGCTTCTCAATATTTTGCACCGAGCCTACGACCTAGCTGCCCAGCTATGCTCAGCGCACAGACGCTCGCGTCCGTGGCAGACGCAGCACGCGTCGCCTCGGCTTGACGCCGTGCCGCCTTTTCTATACTGCATACGTTGCACAATGTTCCCGTCTAACCGCCGCATAGAGCCACAAACTTTCTTTTTAGCGAACCTCTCAGTCCTTACAAGCTTCAGAAAAAGGTTACAACTGCGTGAATGACACGCCACGTAAGAAACAAACTCGCACACACGAGCGCAACGTGTGTGTGTGCATCTTTCTATGTTTGTTGCATGGTGTCTTTTTCGCGCAGGCGTAACCGTTTTCTGAAAAAATGACCCAACAAGACCAACAACATGTCATTCAACAAGCTTCGCTTGAAAACGTGACTCACCTGTTATCTCACGCTTGAAAACGCCGACGCAGCCGGCGTTGACGAAAGCGACGAAAGCTTCTCGCTGTCAGTCATGCATGGGCTTGTCGCTGGGTAGATGGTGTTTATGACAGTACGGCTGAAGAAAAATAATCGCGTAAGGTGTGTTGAATAAATCGTTCTTATGTATAAAGAACATACCAAATTTGGGCGTGTAATTATTAATTTGTGAAAACAATTCTGTTGCATTGATTATAACTGTGTTTTTTTTTGCGCTTGCGCCCTCTGACGTGTGGTGGGAGCACTAGTTCGTTACGTAGTCGTGACGCACTTCCTGAGGCCAGGTTTCGCGGAGTGTCCGCTCTTGTCTTCTTCTTTCTCTATGGTTTAAACCCCTTTAAGCATTTCATCATTACTGTAACAAACAATTGTATGTATTGTAAAATTGATTTGTTTTTTATTGAATTTTGCGTATTAAACGAGTGAGAAAGTTCAAAAGAAGAATTATCGCACAGTATTTCAATTTCAATGAGAGATGGCGCCACCTAACGCGTACGTTGGAGGCAAGAATCAGACAGCGCGAAATTCAATTTACCTTTGAAGGCTCTTACTAAAGAGCTTCTCATTTGAGGCAGTCACATGTCTGACGCGAGTTGTTATTGTGCTGCTTAGTCATGAATCAAGTTCATATGACACCTACTGCAGTTCTTACAACCTTCACTACCGCCATACAGGCTAACGCGACGCACAGCTCTATGTACTGTTAGCCGGCGATTTCAACTTTCAGCGGCTCCGTTTTTTCATTTTTACGCACCGTGAAATGTATAGGCATGCGCACGATGGGGAGAGGGGCGAAAAGTCTGCCCTTATATGACTTATCAGGCAGGGGGGATGCTACAAAAAACCTTGACCCCCCCCCCCCCCCCCTCAACTTTCCCTTGAAGGGAAACCTGAGCCCTTTTGTACCCCAAGACACTTCCCCGGGAAGTGAACTTACTCAAGCACGACACAACGTGTCTCAGAAGAACAAGAACAGCTGCTTGAACATGTGTTGAACGTAATCGCAAAGGCACCCGCCTGTTGCTGTGAACTCGCATCAACTAACTCAAACTTTGGAACTGCTTGCATCGGAACGTTTAGCGGAACGTAAACACTGCACTTTCTCTCGCTCCCCCCCCCCCCCTTTGTGTGTGTGTTCTACTAGTACTTATTGTTTTCTACTAGTTACACGTTGTGGCTTCATTTAAACGTACGCGTCAGCTTGCACCTGCGCATAATGCACAGAGATGTTCTCGCGTTAGCCCGTTCCCCGCAATCTTTATAGCTTCTCGAGACGGCAATACCAGTCTCGCGTCGTCAGCATACCAAGAGAGCGGCATCAGTTCCCCCTCGTAGCGGAACGAATAAGATATTCTTCCTCGCTGGGAGGAGGGTGCCAGAAAGAGGAGCAGGTGTTCGATTAAAGCGCCGACTCTACCGCATAAGAGCAATGAAAATACGGTAAGGAAAGGCGGTTCCAATGGCGGGCAGTCAAATGAAAAATAATAGAAAGCACGGGCGGCGTGACGGGACCGCACGTGCCGTAAGCATGCCAGCGCCGATTGGCTGTCGCACGGCGACCAATGAGGCCTGCGATGGGGTGCCGTCCCACCCGCCTCCTCCTCTACGGCGTGCCGGCGGCGATTTGACGCGTGCCGATCGAGATCGGCGGCAGTTGCGCGCGTGGTGTGAACCTGCGTGCGCGCGGCGATGTCTTTTCGTGAGGCGTGCTTCAATTTTGCGACGACGAAAGCAAACGCTGTCGTTGTTTTTTGAGTGCGCGTGATTATGTCGCTCTGTCATCGTTGATCAGCGAGTTATCATCTTAAGCTTGCGACGTTCAACGCGTCCGCAAACGACGAGCCCGATCATCTGCCGCAAAGCAACCAGCGCTTGGTTTCGTTTTCGGAGCGCGCGCTCTTTTTCGACACGACCCACTTCACTGGTGTACTCGCTGTGCTCGAGCGGCCGTTGGAAACAGTGGGCGCAGCATTAGCGCGTGTGGTTGTGGGTGTTGCCTCTGGAGAAGCCTTCCTGCTGGGGTGTGTTGCTGTGAGTGCCATCGGGAAGCGCCAGAGTGGAAGCGGCGTTGCGATCCCCGCTTTCGCCTGGCATCTTTGAGGCAGTGCTGGACGAGCCAGGAGTCGAAATGCCTGTCGCCTCAGGCGCATCGCCTCCGTCGCCAATGGCAAGTGGTGCGGAATCCAAGACTGGTGGACGGAGGGTGAGTTGCGTGGCGTTTACTTCTGCAAGCCCCGAACAAAGTTTAATTGATAGGTGAACTAAGGTCGCAGCACTCGAGAAAAAGAAATCGAAGATACAAGTCTGTCGCCTGGACAATTCGTCTTCTTTCGTGCACTGGTAGGAATAGCACTACGAAAAAAAAAAATAACAATAAAGCACGCATATCTCGGACACTCCGTGCGAGACGTCATATGTTTTTCGTATAAACCCGGAAGCGACAGACACTGACCTTTGCCACGACGCACAAAACAATTAATTGTATGGTGGGTTGAAGCAAAACTAAGTTCGTCGTCTCTGCATCTCTTCCAGTGCAGAGATGCAGAGAAGATGTGACAAGTCATATATTCCCTCGGAATCAACCTACTTGCTTCTCCTTTGTCGTCTGCTGTCATTTCAATGATTATGTAGCTCTACAGGTTCATGATGACCCCCATCTCCTCTAAGTATGAAGCCCTAATCATCTACCGGCAATCACCTATCTACCGGTGAAAGATCCCACCTCGGTCGTTGAGACTGATTAACTTGGCAAGGAAGTATACCTTTTCCCGGCATTCACTCTACCGAACTGAAACACACTGAATAAAATTAATCAGGCAGAAGGTTATCATTTTCATAGACGTTCACCATATTTTGGTATACTATGTGCTTTTTCTTAGTTCAAAAATTTCCAAGTGGAAACAGCGAGGTTACTTTACCAAGTTTCTAAACCTATGCGAAATCCCTTTAAGTGAAAAATTAAAGGGATTTCACATATTGTGTAACTTGCTCCGAAATCTCATGCAGACGAAATTGATGTGACGCGCATTTCTCTAGAGCAAACGAGGGATTCATGACTATAGGTATTTTCGGAACACTCGTGAAGGATCTTTGAGAATGCCGCTGAAACTTTACTCTCGCATATTAAAGTATTCGGTATACAGCTGCTCCAACTGTGAAAAGTACTCCGCACAGAATTCAGTTTCTTTTTTTTTTTTTATAGATGCCGAGTTATGTGTTAAATTTCGTCCCTTGTTTTTATGAGACCTATACCGATATCAGACAGTTTCCATAACAAATACAACAAGCACTCCAATCCAAGATTCTGCTTTAAAAAGTGCACATTTCCACGCACGCTTATTTTCTTAGTCTTGGTGTCATCTGATTTCAACCGCAAAAACAGCTCTCAAAGCTAAGCGCCGACCATGCCGCCACATTTCAGAAACTTCTCCATTGTTTTACACTATTTTTAGACTATGCTGATAAGAGTGCACGTGCGAGCCGAGTTTATTCTGTTGATTGATTGATAGATATGTGGGGTTTAACGTCCCAAAATCACTTCATGATTACGAGAGACGCCGTAGTGGAGGGCTCCGGAAATTTCGACCACCTGGGGTTCTTTAACGTGCACCCAAATCTGAGCACACGGGCCTGAGTTTATTCTGTAGCTAACGCGGGTTCCAGGCGATAAAGCTGGAATTTTCCATCATTCATGCTTAACGGAATACGCGATCCACCGGCGATCAGATACCGAGGCATCCTATGAACTCGTTGCTTTCGCTGGACTTTCGGTGTAATACTTCTTTTGCTTGGCAAATATGGTTGGTCAATCCATCTTTGCTAGCTTGGTTTTGCTTTCTTAACCGTAACAACGACGTGACATCTGCCTATAACTTCGCTTTCTATGTGAAAATGCGACACTTTCTTTCAAATGGGCCTCGTTTAAAATTTCTGATCGCCTCGTGAGGCAGTTTCTGCGTTTCGTACACACGGGTTTTCAGTCGACTCATACAAGATCGGGCCCTGAATGCACGTGCCCTCCCGTAAAATGCCCTTCATTGTTGTTCTCTGAGTTAAAATCAGGCGTGTATGAATATCTGTAAGATAATCTCTCGTATACGGCCCCGCAGGTGTCCAAGCCGCTGATGGAGAAACGACGTCGGGCGCGCATCAACCGCTGCCTGAACCAGCTCAAGGCATTTCTCGTGGACCCGTCGAAACCAGAGGTACGTATTTACTTGATAGCGGGGCCTTACATCGCAATAGATGCGGACGCAGACTACATGTTTTCGAGGTGTTTTCACTGTCGAGAGGGTTCCTGGATTGTCGACGGAGTTACTGGACATGCTATACATAAGTACACAGTAACTCTATATATAGACAGGTAAATACACGAACATTGACTCGCTCACTGGATTTCGTGCCGACCGGTTGTGCCCCCGCGATCTCCAACGACAGCGCAGCTCTGGCCGACTGGGCTCGCCCTACGCCATCTCCTGACGCCGACAAGAGCTCTCGCCGAGTGGTGCCCCATGCATGCTCGGACTCCTGCGACCGTGTCCATCTTTCCTATCTTCTCCTTACTTCCGTCGTTCGCTGTCGCTGCACCTCGCTCTCTCTTTCCGCTCTCTCTATCTCTTTACCTTTTAATCCTATCCTTTTTATCCCTTCTCTACCCCCCCCCCCCCCCCATCGTGAGCTACTGTTGAGGTGTCCTCCCGCTGAGAGACAGTTTCATTTAAAATCACTCACATAGGCGAACATTTCCACATTGGGAAGTTTGACTCTGCATTGTGCCAGTTAACCTTCGGTCCTCATGTCAGTGAACCTTCAAAACCTGTTTTAACCACACCTGGTTAAAACAGAAAACAAGAAACAAGGGGCCGGATGGAAAATTGGGGGGGGGGGGGGTACAGTTTGTATGTTTACACGTTTATTGCTGCTGACTCGTCGCGCATGCGTGACTGTGATCTAAAGAGTATCCTTTTTTTTTTCATTATTGAATTTCACTTGTACGTCTTGTCTTTGCTTTACGCGTTGCTGCTTAACGTCGTGCTCTCGCACTTTGTCAATAGCCCACGTATACCTGCCGCGGTGGTCTATATAACGTGGTCTATACGGTGGTTACCGTGATTGACTGCTGAACCGGAGGTCGCAGAATCAAATCCCGGTAGCGGCGGCCTCATTTCGATATAGAGAAGCCGGTGTACTTGGATTTATGTGCACGTGCATTAAGGAACAGGTGGTCGAAATTTCCGGAGCCCTCCACTCGTAATCACATGGATTGGAATGAAACAACTTCATTTGAGTCCTATAAAGGACGCGCTTAGCGCGTAGCGGGCGTCTCCCACTATAGGCTCGAAATCACACCGTCTCCCGTAATCGTGTCGTTGTTACGCCACGACGTTGAACCCGAACAATTATTATACCGTAAACGCAGGTGGTGGAAATTAGACACGACACCACGGACCTTGATTTCATACCTCGTTCGCCGTTTTACGACTTCCCACGAATCAGTCAGTAAATTATACTCAACTATTTAGGGTGCTATGTTGGAAGCGCTGACATTCTCACGCTTCTATCTGGTGGATTTTAGGTGTGCCATAGCTTGTTCATGAACATTCTTGCAGAGCATTGCAAACTACGTGACATTGAAGTATGCTTGGCACAGCACTGTTGCTGTGTGTTTAACTGTACCGCATTTCGTGCTGTTCTGCATTAATGTTATACTAAGGGCTCGCATGGAATAAAGCAGTTGAGGTTAGGAAAATATATAGGGCTTGTTCTCCACATTGGTCAGCAATAGGTTCCTGTCGCAAGACGCAAGTATATGTTTAAATAAGTAGCGGGCCAGTGAAGGGATATTGTCCTATAGTTTTAGCGATACGCATTTCTGTATAAACTCTCGCAAAATACGATCATCCCAATAATAATAATAATAATAATAATAATGAAGGAGAAGAAGAATTTTCCCGTCAGTATACAAAATATAACGATGGAGGAGGTGAAAAAAAAGCGATATAGTGTTGCGAAGACTGGACCGATCCCGCCGAAGCCACCACTGTTGCGAACGACGGACGCCAACACGGCCTCGAAGGCGCCACTGCTTCCAACTTCGCCGGGAAGGTCACCAGCCGTTTGGTAGCGTATGTTTATCAGCTCGCGACTGCTTCTGCGCAGAGCTGATAAGACGAGCGGACGAGACGACGGTGAGTTAAACAAGGTTTATGTACAGCATATATACAGAGGCGTTACAATTTCGGCACTGGGGCCGACAGAGACTCGAAGAGCCGAGCTCTTCTCTCTAACACATAGATCAGCCTTTCGCCTAAGATCGCTGACTCACACACATGTCGGCTCTCCGACATGGGGACTCCTCTCTCGTAGGACCTCCGATCGCGACGCGCCGCAGGGCTTCTTTTATTTACACCGGGTCCAACCAAAATGTCCAATCAGAAGCGCCGCTGGTCGTCAGGGCAGATTCCGCCAATGGGGGTCGCCGCGCCATGCGTCAGACCACCCGACACGCGGACGCCGGCTCGCTGTCACGCGCGCAGCTGACTCAACGCACGTGGGCCAGGGAGGCGCCGCGCGTGTTCACTCCGTCGAGTTGATCGCGCCAGGCGACTGCGGGCTGGCCTCGACCCAGATTGCCTTTTTCAGAGGCACGGTCGTTTGACGAGGACTCGCTGGCATAACAGCACCCCCGCCGCCAGACAATGCACCGGAAAGACGAGCTGCTTCCACGGGGCTCGGATGTCAGGTGCGCTCGTTCGCCAGGTCCCTCCAGGTTCGCCTCCAGGGCCATGGGGAGAATACAGCTCCAGACTGTTCCGGGAACACATCCCATTTTTGACGACGGATCCCAGCTCCACTGGCTTGTCGCCACAACTTGTCGACCAGCTTCACTCGTCTCTTCTGACCATCTTCGGTTTCAGCACTTGTCGATGGTTCTGCAACTTGCTAAGAACGGTTCGACAACAGACAACACACGACACAAGCAAGTGCCCTCGGTCACCCGACAGAACACCAGACAAAGTATAGTACAACATATACCTATCTACGTGTTTATCGGAATTTTGTTCCCTCTACATCAAGAGGCACATGTGGGACACAAGACTCTTAAAATGACAACTCAATTTTGTTTTCCCACGTACAACAACGTAACGAATTAGAATACCACAAAGTTGGCCCCTTGAGATCACTCTGAACGAGAGCGCTCAGCCCAGGTCGTGATGAGGTCAAAATTTTGCCCCGAATCACCAACGAGAAACCGAAAGGTTGAGGAGTTACTAGCTGGAACGCACTGCTCAATGCACCTGCATTAGCGTTTACCTTTCCTTTACTTTTTTTTATTTTTTTTTGATAGCGAACGTCAAAGTTGCGCTGTGGAGCAACATGCTCCACTTCAGTAACCGGCCACTTTTAGGCGACGATACCTATGCGGCACCAAGAGCGGCTCACACTTTCGACGTTGCACAGGGGAACAACGACACGGCTTGCTACGGATTGACTCCTCACCGCTGAGCTCGATATCGTGTTCGATCACCCTCGTGTTTCCGGGGCGGTCCGAAAACACGTCTTCAAACTCGGAACCAATCTTTCTCAGGTCCGCCTTCTCAGGTCCTCCGTCACTTAAGCTAGGCTCTAGGTTCAGCTGTTCCCAGATTACTTTCGATCTCCTTTCGATTACCTCACTAGAACTAAAAATTTCTGCTTCCTCTGAAGCACTCAACAACAGATTTACGACCGCTTGATGTTGAACGTATGGTTTCATCAAGTTGTAAATTTTGTCCGGCCGCCTTCCTAATTTCACTTCATAATTTGTATCGCAAGGCTTCGATAATACTTTGGCGGGCCCTTCCCAATCAACCTCAAGCTTGTTCCTTTTGGACGGCTGCAGCAGCATTACCTGATTATCAACTTCAAAAACACGCTTCTTCACCGATTCCTCGTAGTGCTCCTTCGACAGCACTTTTGCCGCGTTTTCCTGGCTTTCCACTAGCGCTTCAATTTGGCTTTCCACTAGCGCTTCCATCGAGAGATCCTTACGCTGCTCTCGAATGAGCGTCTCTCGGTCAACTCTCGGCAGCTCGCTCCAACTTTCCGCTACAGGCGAGAGCGTTGCAGCCCTCTCGCTCTGATTCAATGGCGCCATGTCGTCTCCCCCAACGCATACCGCGCCGGCCGCTTCCGCGACGGGCCGCTCGCGTGACTGCTCACATGACTCACGCGGAAAATTTCCTCTCTGAGGTTCCGTCGACCCGCCGACAAGGTCACTTGAGCGTTCACCGCATTGAACCAGATCAAGCTCCTGCGAAAGCTTTCGCGCTTTGCGATCGCGTGAGGGCCATGCACGCTAAGTTGGGGAAGAACGATTTGCCCTGCTCTTTGAGAAGCTGCTCCGAGTTGTTGGAGAAAAGATAAGGAAAACGATCATTTAGCGCGGCAGACACAGCTGCTTCGGTGCGAAGCTTACCGAACGGGCCTTCAATGACAACCGTGGCGATTGGTAAGCGAACACTCTGCACCTCGGCGACTTGCCTGATCCACGCGCATTCTCCTGTGAAGTCATCCGGAGACACCAATGAAGGATGGACAACGTCCATGGTTGCCGCTGAGTCTCTAAGTGCTCGGCACGTTTTCTCATTGACCCTAATTTCTTGGAGATACGGCTCCAACAACCGAATGTTTTTTTCTGATTCTCGGATCGTTGCGAAGGCAAACTTTTCCTGACAGTTTCTCGCGATGTGCCCTTCCTTTTTACAGTTGTAGCAGATTAGCGGCTTCCGTTTGTTGTCCGATTCAGATGCCTGTGTGGTAGAAACCTCACTCGATTTCTCCGCTTCTGTTTGCCCTTCCCCTACACTGTCCTTCGTAAGAGACGGGTCCTTTTTGAAATTACGGTGCGGAACGGGTTTCCGTTGATCAGGTTTCCTTGAAAAGCCCTCTTTCCTTTCATCCTTTTCAACGCGCGCTGCCCTGCTATGCAACTTTCGGCGAGTATAATACTCCTCAGCTAACTCAGCTGCCTTGTTTAACTGTACGTCCCCAAGTCTGTCCTGCAGCCAAAGTTTGACATCCTCCTCGATGCAGCGGTAGAATTGCTCCAATGCAACGCATTCCACCACTTTATCGCGGTCGTCATAAACACCTTCGCCCTTGAGCCATTCAATCAAATCGGCTTTAAGACGAAACGCGAAGTCAACGTGTGACTCATTCCCCTTTTCAGCATACCGGAACCTTTGCCTGAAAGCCTCGGGTGACAACTTATAACGTCTCAAGAGCACTTCCTTAACCTCGTCATAGCTCTCAAACGCTTCCCTCGACAAGCAAGTTATCGCGTCGGACACTTCGCCGGGAAGAAGAGCTAGTAGGTTCCGCGCCCAAAGAGACCGCTCCAAAGCGTTTCGCTCACAGACGTGTTCAAACTTGACGAGATACTTCGCCATGTCCTCGCCTACTACGAACGGTGGCAGTTGGTCCCGAATTCTAAAACCGCTGACCTGAATCGTCGGAGAAGCTACGCTAGGCGCCTGCGAACACTGTAGGATTGCCAATTCTAGTCGTTTCAACTCTAGGCGCTCTTGTCTCTCGGCCTCCTCGCGCTCGCTACGTTCTACTTCTCGCCTTTCAGCCTCCTCACGGCGTGCTTTAATATCCACCCAGGCCTCATCGACTTCCTCAGCCGACACTCCCTCATCCTTCATGATCTCAAGGATCGCTTGCTTTCGTTTCGCGCGGCCCAAAGTAATGCCGAGTTCCTCACAAATTTCGATGAGTTCCTTCACTTTAAGGTTCTCCATCGTTCACACTAGCCTCTTGCTGTTTGCCCCTGTTAACAATTTACTTGCCGTACCCACTATAAGTCAACTAGCAAGACGCGCAAGCAATTTTTCACTCTCCCGTGTTTACCCCCTCCGCATTAACTTTGGTTTCAAAGCACTTCGACTTTGCTTGAAACGATCAAAGCTCACTCTAATGCTTCACACAGCCCTTCTCTAAACTACTACAACCTGAGCTAGAGTAGTCTGGTGAACTGAGGGGAAAACATCAGGCACTCACCGCATCGATGTCGCTGACGCCGGCCGATCCCGCAGCTGCCAACCACTGTTGCGAACGACTGGACCGATCCCGCCGAAGCCACCACTGTTGCGAACGACGGACGCCAACACGGCCTCGAAGGCGCCACTGCTTCCAACTTCGCCGGGAAGGTCACCAGCCGTTTGGTAGCGTATGTTTATCAGCTCGCGACTGCTTCTGCGCAGAGCTGATAAGACGAGCGGACGAGACGACGGTGAGTTAAACAAGGTTTATGTACAGCATATATACAGAGGCGTTACAATTTCGGCACTGGGGCCGACAGAGACTCGAAGAGCCGAGCTCTTCTCTCTAACACATAGATCAGCCTTTCGCCTAAGATCGCTGACTCACACACATGTCGGCTCTCCGACATGGGGACTCCTCTCTCGTAGGACCTCCGATCGCGACGCGCCGCAGGGCTTCTTTTATTTACACCGGGTCCAACCAAAATGTCCAATCAGAAGCGCCGCTGGTCGTCAGGGCAGATTCCGCCAATGGGGGTCGCCGCGCCATGCGTCAGACCACCCGACACGCGGACGCCGGCTCGCTGTCACGCGCGCAGCTGACTCAACGCACGTGGGCCAGGGAGGCGCCGCGCGTGTTCACTCCGTCGAGTTGATCGCGCCAGGCGACTGCGGGCTGGCCTTGACCCAGATTGCCTTTTTCAGAGGCACGGTCGTTTGACGAGGACTCGCTGGCATAACAATAGTCCACTTGACGAAGTTCCCACTCCCGTGAAGGTATATGCACAGCAGCAATGGGGCATGCACATATACATGCGCGAACAAAAATACAGTTTTATACATGTATACAATTGCAGCGATGTGTATTTCGGCTAACGAGAGAAACGCGAAAGGAAAGGAGAAACGAAGGAAAAAAAACACACACACACGCAGAGCATGTCCATGGTCCTCGCTCTTAAAAAAAGGAAAAAATAACAAGAACGTACATATGCGTAAACAACCCTATATATTGAAACACATACACGCGAGCATATATTTACGCAGAAAAATATCCATACATTTGTTTAAAACTAGAATTTCCGGAGCGCGGTTTTGTGCATGTATGTCTTTTCGAAATCTCTGAATAAAACCTATCCAAAAATTTTGAACAGTTTCTCGGGACATGTATAAGGTCTAGTCGCTTATACATTTTATTATATATGCATATGTTAAACACAGAAGACGGGTGGTGGCTATTCAGTATGGTAAACGTTCGAAGTGCAGATAGATTTGGAGCAATTGTATCGTAGGAATTCTATTGACATCTGTGAAAATAAGTTCTTCTGACCGTAGGATATTCTCCGCCCATGGTCGGTTCGCCGCACAACGCACGTATCACGTCGTTTTGGCGCGAACACGTGATTAGTTGCGTGGCGATGCGTGACTTTGGTCACGTGACTATAGGATTACTTCATTTTAGCCACTTGGCTAGCTGTTACCCGTCTTTTTGACAAGCATATACCACGTACGTGTTTAGCCGTTATACATGGTTTAGTCTGGAACGTGCGCCACGTGACTATAGCTGTTATGATGTGATTCTAGTCACGCACATAAAGCCACGTCATTCTTAGTCCCGTGATCGGTTCTTACGAGATGTTAACCTACACGCCCATAATACTTATTGTGTTCTGCGCCGGACAAAATGGCGCATGTGTTGCGGGAGTGACACGTAAGTTGAAGAGGACGAATCGAGTGCGTATAGCGGTTCGTGATCTTGATAATTCCTGAAGGCGAAGCTTTAGGATCCCCTAATTTTCTAAACACGTGTAAATTAAATGCGATGCAATTGTTATGCCGAGTGGAGGAGAATACAGTCCTTCCGTCTGTCACCACGAAAAATTGCGCTTTTGCAATGCCTCCGAACATTGCAAGCTGGCTGCACTTATCCTTGGTTTGCGTTGCCTCCGCAATGGGCTCATGTTTAACCAAGCGTGGCGTCACTACTGACGTTACAAATTTTGGTTTCTGTGATGTGATCATGCATGGCATCATATGGTGGCGTCATTGCGTGATGATGTCTTTTATTTATTTTTTATTCGCTCGTGTTGATGCCGTCTATGTGGAACGCCGACGGTCAATTTGGGTGGTTGGTGAGACACCGAAGACTATCGCCTCAAAGAATGACGCCATTAGTACTCTGGGCATAAGGCTGAAACCGACTGCGGAGCTGGGCCCGGGGGACTCTTTTGCATCTCTTTATTTTTCTTTTTTTTCTTTCTCGATCTTTATCCTCCTCTGTTTTGTCCCCTTTCCTTGCTTTGTCTCTCTGTCTATTCATTTCTGTCCGTATAGGCGCACTTCAGTCTTTTTTCTTATATCTTAATTACCTTTCTCTCTTTCTCTTCCAATTTCTATATGTTTGTTTCTCCCACTTTCTGTCTGTATTTTTCTCAGTTCTTTTTTTTTTCATTTTCCCCATCCCTACACTTTTTTTTTTCTCTCTGCACCCCTTGTACCGCCCATCCGAATCGATGCATCCTACTCTGGACGAACCGGCGCAGCGGGAGAGCAGGCGCCGGACTGACATGTCAGGCTAACGCTGCAGAAGATAAAGGACAGGAGAAAATAGCGCACACCGACATTATGACGATCGTTACTTGCGTAAATCACAAGTCGCACAAAAGGTGGGCACAACATATTCGCTGAATATCTTTCCAGCTGAACCGGGCTTCGTATACCGAGGTACAGAAACCAGGTGAGGCGCTGGAAGTCTGCAGTGTCTCCGATCACGGAGTCAGGGCAGAACCTCGTTGGGCGCACAAGGATTTCGGTTTGGAGGGGGTGGGCTTAGGGAGGGGAAGCGGCAGATCAATACATCGACTGAGAATGAAAATAAGGTTGCTTTCACCTTAGAGTCGTCTTAGGCTAATGCATAAGGGGTACTGGCATAGCCAGGAGATGCAACACCGAGCCGAGCGCGTGTTCCCTTCCTCGCCCCCCCCCCCCCCTAGAAAGTTTTTTTTTTTTGCCATGGCTTACAGAGCGAAAAATTACCATTCCAAGGGTGTGTCCCCTTTCCAAAATCAAAAATGGGCCCCCCCCCCCCCCCCCCCAAAAAAAAAAATATATGCCTACGCCCCTGATAAGGGACTCGTGAGTTTCATTATATGTAATTCGCAAGCGTGTGTACCTTCCAAGCAAACGTCTTTACTTTCAGCCCTTCAGTTTAAGTATGCTGAGTGTATAGTCTGACCTAAATACTTTTCCGTCCATCTTTTCTTTGGTGCACAGCAGAGCCCGCGTCAGTCGAAGCTGGAGAAAGCCGACATCCTCGAGATGACCGTGTGCCACTTGCAAGCCCTGCACCGGCAGCGAAGAACAGGTTGGTGTACGCTCTGTTGTTTCTCCCACTCATGTATGTCACCATCTGCTGTATGCCCCGGTGTAACGGCAGCATACCGGGCTTTTCCACCTGGTTAACCTCACGGGATTTCATCTATCTATCTATCTATCTATCTATCTATCTATCTATCTATCTATCTATCTATCTATCTATCTATCTATCTATCTATCTATCTATCTATCTATCTATCTATCTATCTATCTATCTATCTATCTATCTATCTATCTATCTATCTATCTATCTATTCGCAATATTCATGACCTCATCTAGTTCTTTCTTTCTCATCTACCGCTCTCCTATCTGTAGTCATCGCCATCATCAGTTGTATTAATCACAACAATACCTGACTATTATATTGGCTAATACACCTGTGTAACACTGTAGTGCATTTTTCGCAACTTGTTTGGTTTGCTCGTATCTGCTGCGTCAAGCCAGTTAAATGGTACCACTGCCATAGAGTTTCTCAAATTTAACTAGAGGGCACTCTGGCGCTGCGATCGTTCAGCGACCATAGGAATGATGGGTAGTACACACATTTACCTAGTCTTCGTACTTGCGGGTGGCGAATCATACTTGTGGCCTCATTTACTGATGTGTTTCGATTTTGTTTTGAAAGAAAGATTCAACTCTTTTGAACTTCGTGACTCAATTTGAAAAGGTATTTCGAAAAAAAATAAGGTGGTGAAGCGCAATCGCTGAACATTTGCCGATTTTTGTTTCGTGAGAAAACAGCTTCAAGCCACACGAACACACACGGGGCCAAGAGCAGGCCAGAAGTACGAAGTTTAGACAAATGTGTGTACTAACCATCATTCCCATGCTCGCTGAAGCGCTGTGCATTGCAGCTCCCATAGACACTAGCGCCAGAGTTCCCTCTAGTGTGTATTGGTAAACTCTATGACCACTGCCTCTTTGAAAAGTATTGGGCCTTCTGTGCAGCCCGCCTCCTGGACGACCCCGAGGTTCGCCACAAGTTCCGTGCGGGCTTCGAGGAGTGCATCCTCGAGATCCGCCGCTTCCTGTGCTCGCTGGCCGAGCAGCAGCACCAGACGAGCCCGTGCTTCGACCCCGTGGCATCTCGCGAACGCATCTTGGGACATCTGCAACGACGGGCCAGGGAAATCCAGGACCCCGATGGGGCCCTTGCGCAGTGCACTTCAGCGCCGGCAGGTCCCGACGCCTCCAGCGATCCGCCTGTTCGGACTTCGCGGCGACTCGCTCCCAACGAAGCCTCCACTCCAGGTAACACGCTGCCGTATACCTTCTATATGTCACTGCGTACATCTTTGGCACAGCGAACCGCTGTGGAAGCTCAGAGGCTCGTGGGGATGTTTACGATATACAACAAGAGGCCAAGGGCACTATTGCTGGCCACGATGGCCGTATTTTGATGGAAACAATATGTCAAAATGAAAACTAATATTTAGTTCGCTCGTTGTCAGTGTCATTGGTGCCTTGTTAAAACCACACTATACCTAACCTGCATAACTGAAAGTAGAATTTACAAGTTGAAAATCGCCCACTCTCTTCACGTGTCATTAATCATCTACCCGGATATCTCGAGGTATTGACTCTCTTGAAATACACGCACAATAGTAATATCCATGCAGCGTTAGTGAGGATTAACGGTATGTGTACAGAAGTGCTAACACTACGGTTCTCGGAACACTCGCACCCGCAGAGTCCAACCACAGCTCCCTGGACGCGACGGCCTCGAGCGATGAGCTGGCCTCGGAGACGTCGTCCTCGAGGTCTCCCTCGCCGTCCGACGTCGTCGTGTCCCACGCTGACGTGCGGTTGCGGCCCAAGAGGCTTCGCAACGGGGACCTGGTGCTCGTGCTACCGAGAGACCTGGTCGCCAACGCCAGGATCGTCGCCGCGGCGGCCCCGACCGCAGAACCCGACGTCAAGCAGCCCACTTCGCAGTCGCAGGCCTCGACGTCGTCCGTGTTGGACGCCCGGGAAGTTTCAGCGGCGTCGACGTCGCCCGAGGTCTCGTCGTCCACGTCGTCCGCGTCTGTGGTGGCCGAGGAAGTGATCTCGCCTCCGGTAGCTCTACCATCTGTGTCCTCCTCACCCACTTCTTCCACATCATCCTGTTCCCTCCCTTCGTCGTTGCAAGTTACACCTGCGGTCGAAGGAATTTCACATGATGACGTCTGGAGGCCTTGGTGACGAAAGTCGCGTTGCCGCTTTTCTCTAGAACACCGCCCATCATGCTTAAAAGGCTGTAAAAAAAGTAAAAAAAAAAACTGTAACGTGCACCCTCTCGTGGCAGGGGCGTGAACTAGCGTTCGGTGTTCGTCCGCCGCGTAAACATCGACGCAGAGTCATACTTGTGAGTCTCGTTGATTTGTGACGTCATCTATGCAGAAATCGCAAATTATGCTGCCGTCTCCGAATTCATAGGTATAAAGTTGGTTCGTGTGTTTAGAAAAAGTTGTTAACGATTTAGAGTACGATGTACTCAACTATGGGAGAGCAGAAAGCCGTCCCGTGTCTGGTAAACTTGGTTCGTGCTGTGGAAAGTGTGTTATCGCGATATGCGTTTGCAGCCGCAATCGCCCGCCGCCGTTTGCCGTAATGTGAACAGGGCAATTCAACTTGTGCTGGTTTCCAAGCCACAGGCAAGTACGTTTTATTCAATGCAATGCCTTTATTAACTTTCATTGATTTATTATTAGAACAGTACTTTTACCTTTGCGCATGATTGAAGAAGGAGTGGAATTGCCTGAAGTTACTTTGTTGGGAGCAAATTATTATTCTAGTTCTGTGGAACCGACCGCATTGCCCTTGTCTCTTCAGCCAGTCACTGTGCAATGAAACTTGCTTTATCATTTTGTCAATGTGAAACCTTTGGCACTTATCTGTTCAGACTGTCTGTCCATGCGCAAGTTGGTGAACAAAACAATACATATATAGTTTACAGGTCTTAGCTGAACTGTACCTGCTGCTTTGTTGGCGTGTGCAATCGAACTCCTGTATATTCTTAAGAGAGCGTACATTGTGTTAGAATAGGCATGACCCTGCAAGACGTCGTCTTCCAATCATTTTCGTTTCGGATATCCAAATCTGTGCTTCCAAGCAAGGATGTTCGACGACCACACCGACATACGTTCGTCTTTTGGCCGAGTGTTCTGTCAACTACGATTCGGTGCTGCTTGGCCACGGGATGTATAAGAAGACTTTATTTGACACACGATCGTGCTGCTATTTCTGTGTTTCGTGTCACTGCTGTCTCCCCACAAGTGACGCAGGTGCTTCGGAAAAGCTTCCAGGGAAGGAAAAGTGGGAATAATTTTGACACCATCAAACAAATGAATTGAACCCTCGTGCAACTCGTTTTGCTCTTAAGACGCATGAGAAAATTAAACGCAGATCGCATGCAGAGTAGAACAAACTGGTAATAAGCTAAGTACAGTTTCCGCAAACTGAAATAGTTATCTGGAAGCTCCTGACGATCCTTATACAACAAGCCGAAGGGTTCACGGCGCGTGTAAAGTAATAAACATATAAAAGCACACTCTAAAAAAGGTAAGAGTACAGCTGCTCCTCTTTCTGGGGAGTCATGAATGGCCCTCTGAACTCTGTTGCTCTAATTGGTAGTGTCGATCCTTCGAAGGAAGTATAATGGTCACCAGATTAGAGGGAACGGGTATACCTGTCAAGAGTCACAAGTGTGGTAAGTCGTGAACCACCAAAAAGTTACAGGACCATCATCATGGTCTTTCTCATCATGGTGTAATTAAAGGCGGTCGAAACTTTATATTGAGATTGTTACGAGTTAGCGGCATGATTGTCTACGTTATACCTAATTTATTTGTCCGCAAAAGCGTAAGTTTTACGGAACATTAAAGAAAAAAAAACATTTTAATACTACTGTTCCCTTCGGTACATGTGAGAGACGTTTTACTTAGTAAATGGCAGATGATGTTGGCATCAGGCTGAATATTTAATTTTGTTGGTATTGTTAGGATAAGAGTGTTACGATATAATAATTGATGGGGTTTACGTCCCAAAACAACGATATGATTAGGAGGCGCCGTATTGGAGTGCTCTGGAAATTTTGACCACCTAGCTAGGTAGGGTTATTTCACGTGCACCTATAAATAAGCGTTGCGAGATTCTGTTGACCTTGAAGATCTTAGAATGACCCGTCATGGTGGTCTGGTGGTGATGTGCTCGAGTGCTGATCCGAAGGTGGCGGGATGGAATTCCGGCCATGACGGCCGCATTTCCCGTGGAGATATAAATTTAAAGACCCGTATATATATACTTCGATTTACGTGCGCGTCAAGGCACTCCAGGTATAGTCAAAATTTTCGAAGCTTTGCGCAATACGGTGTCCCTCAAAATCATCACATCGCCCAATAGTTATATTCACCTTTCGTGTAATCCCGATACAAGAAAGCAAGCGAAAACGTTAACAACGAAGGTCACAACCAAGATGAGAAAAAATAAGATCGCCTCTTATGCATTGCTACATGCATCATACGCATCGAACGTCATTCATGTGCGAGTGCCTTTCACATGACTCATAGTCTATACTGATAAGTGATAAGCAGAATAATGTTTCAGTGTGGTCGCAAAACATGTCTGCGCTCATGAATGTGTGAGTGTGCTGATAAAAGAATGAATTGACGTTTTCGGGCATTTGGCTGCCCTGGGTTTTGCGTGATCACCAGAAAACTTTCCAGCTATATATACATTTTGTAAAAAAAAAAAACAACAACTTACTACTGCTGCGGCACTGGCGTTTTAGTTTTCGTTCGCACGGTCAAAAAAAGATCACCGGAAGAAGTGTGCGTGCCACCGTCCGTTTTATCAGTGCCACTATTGCTGCAGTTGTTTTGCGTATAGGAATCCCCGTGGAACGTCTCGCAGCAAATGTTTCCACTATGCTTGCGTGCCACGGTGTTGCACTTTTTGAATGTATATGCAAGCGTATTGTGTAATAAAGAACGTTCCTTGTGATACATGCCTGCCTGGAATTGTGCCGAATTCGTCATCTACACGTCTTCGTCCGCACAGAGTCGTGCCTAAATTTTACGTAAGTAATCCGACAGGTGGCAAACAGTGCATTCCTTCTTTGAACCACGAACAAGCTTTATAAAAGAATGCAGTACGAAAAAGATGCCTGAATTAACTTTAGCTCTCTGAAAGAAATAAATGTTGTGGCTCTAGTCACCACACGGAACTACTGCGCTGAATTTCCATGCTTAATTTTGTGCAACATGCCTACCTACTACAGAGAAGACGGAGAGAGAGAAATTAACGTTTATTCTAGAAACAGGGTTCCGAGGGATGCCATGATGCCCGGTATCACCGTTGGGCTAGTGCAGAGCTGAATGAACACGTTGGCTGGTCATTGGACCTGTCGCGAAGAAAGGTAAAACTTGGCAACTTGTCAAAAAAAAAAAAAAATGTAATCCCCTCGCCAACCTTAGTTGAATGCAAATCAGGCCTACGTTGTTATAAAGAAGAAAAGGAAACAAGTTGTCGCGCACTATGAAGTGAATTGAAAGTGTTGGACCACTCATTCTCAGCGCTATAGGTTTATAGTGCAGTACACAATGGTGCAAGTTTAATATTTATCGACACATTGAGGTCACAATCCTGGTCTATAGCCTATTCGCTATGTCACGATAAATATTAAAAATGTGCGAGTGAGCACGGGAAGTGGTCCCGGAACAATATAGCGCGTCTTGTACCTCGATCCTCTACAACGTAGACTGAAACTTAGACTGATTATAATGAAATCTCGAATTACGCTAACCGATCCAATATCAGCGGCTATTCAAGGAGTTCGTGAAGGCCGACTGTTTCGAAGCGCTGCGCAGCTGGGCACCATGTGTGGTGCATTAGAGAAAACAAAGAAAGAAAAAAAGAAAGAAGGAAGCAAGGAAAGAAAGAAGGAAAGAAGGCACTAATTTCGTCTTGCTTGGGTGTGCGCTGTTTAGCGCTGTAGATACCTTTCATATGACGTCATGGACTCGAAACTTGGCTCCAACATGGCGGCTTTAGATGACGGCTTGGCACAATCATCTCACGGCGATTAACTTGCTTCGTTGTGATAGCGATGTCTCTGGGACTCTATTTGACCTATGTGAAAGCATAACAAGGCCACCAGCATGCGATGTGTTGGTAATAGTAACGTGACATTGTTATGTTCACGTCCCACCATGTTGGCGCTCTAACTTGGCTGCTCCAGGGACGTCAGTGCAAACCATGTATTAGATGCAAGCTCAAATGGAAGCAAAGGCTCGGCGCCGTTCCGCAATAGGAAAATGAAGGAACGGACGAGAGACAGAGAGTGGACGTCAGCACTTCAGTGGCCTCTATCGACCCGGCGACGAAGGCCCCGTCAGGTCGCGATGCATACCGTCGAGGGATTCATTTTCTGCATGTTGTTGTTTGTGGGTCGTGAGGAAAAGGAAGAAGGCACCTAAATTCTGTCTGCCTACAGGCGACACGGCGCAGTGCCTAGTCGAGGCATTCGTTTTTGGCATGCGGAAGGGATAAAGCTAGGCGCGACCGCTGTTTTCTCTTTCACACGCATGGTGGCGCGCGTGCACAGAGCAGAACACCAACTCGGCGGTCACATGACCCGCAGCGACGATGGGTTCCCTTTCAGCGTCGAAACGTTTGCGCACGTGGGCAGGGGCCGCGCTGCCACGCCCACTTGTGCCTCACTTGGCGTTTGACTCCGGCGCTTGTCCGAGAGCGCCGATCGAGCCACCCGCGGTGTGACGGGCCGTCGTCGCCTGTAGCACGTGCGCGCCAGCTGTGCGTGCCGCCGTTGTGGCGCTGCGGTCTTCGGGCTTTCTTTTCTCGGCCCCACGTGCCACCACAACATCTCGGAATGTTTTAAGAGAGAGAGAGAAAAAAAAAACAGGTGTTTGAACACGTGAGCTGAACTAGGAAGGAAGGAGGAACACTCGGTTCCATTCCCTCTTCTGTTCTTCAGTTTCGTCTCAAGGAGCAAGCGACCCCAAATATGAGTGTGGAGCTTGGGCTAGTTGGTATGGCATGACGATAGTTATAGCGCGAGAACAAAACGAAGGCACAGAGACAAGAAGGACACGAATGACACGAGCGCTCGTGTACTTCGGGTCCTACTTGTCTCCGTGTCGTCGTTTTGTTCTCGCGCTATAACTATCGTCATCCCAACTGGGAATTCGGCCAATACCAAATGTTATT